TTTCTCTCAAGTATGCTTCAAGTATGGAGCATGGTTAATTTAGAGATTAGGTTCCAAATTAGATTATCTAATGGCATCTTAATGGATTGCTGACCCATTTCCTGTGGGATGGCAGCATGCAAGTCTGGCTGGAATACAATTAATTTCTTAGGAAGTGTTCTGAAGAGTTTCCTAGATAAAAAGGAAATGTTCTGTTGTGCAAATCTTTCTTTATAAATGGAGAAAGTTAGGCAAAACTACAGCAAATCCCAGTGTATTTTTCAACAGCCAGATCACTGATACTGTGTGTGAACACTATATCAAGACTGTTTTTGAGAACGTGCCATTTTTTATTTCAGAACAGGTGCAAATGATTTTCTGATGGGAATGGAGCAGTTCTTTTAGAAAGAATACTCCGATGCAAAGAACAACACTAGTCAGTAACCCCACTACCAAACAACGGACATGTGAATTTTTGGCTTCTGCAATTCTCCTCCTCCTCAAACCAAAGATGCTTCCATTCATCTACCTTATCAGCATTTCTATCATAGTCCCAGAGTGGTGCTAGGGGCCCAGAATGGTGAGTAAGAAGTTGAACATTTTGAACACACTTTTGAGCTGACAGCTGAAAAGGAAATTCAGCACTCTGAGAATAAAGCTCCCCCCAGGAACTCCAGGAACAACCCAGCTGTTGTCAAGATAACAAACTGAAAGCAGGAAATGCTAACCTAGTGAATTTGTAGGGATGCTCTAAGTGTAATGTTGAAAGAAGAGTTAACTCTTGATACTTCCTAAGGACAGGAAACATACTGTCCTTACCATACATGTGCCCTATGTCTAGGTATGTGTGTAGACACACGCACATACATGTGTATACCCACATTTATGCACGCGCATCCGCACACGCGTGTGTATACATCATATATGTATTTGCATACAAACATGGTTTGCAACCCAATATCGAAGATTATTTTTGTTTAAAGGACGTATATTTTACAAAGAACGGTTTATGGACAAAGCAACGGAGATGGTAAATGGTTGAGGACAGCGTTATGCAAATAGGGTTCTATGTATGGAATGAATGCTCTTACTCCTTCCTTTTTGCCCTCTCTCTCCTGACCAACCAGATCCAAATAATCTTTACTGGCTGCTACATTTCTCCTAGGAAATCAAGCGACTCTTTAGAATTGCAGTAATAAACGACAATTTCTTACAAAAACACGTGTAAAGTAACTACAGAATGAAGTATTCAACTCAGAGAAAGGAACTGCTAACACATGTAACATGGAAAGTACCTGATAAAAGTCTCTTTGGTGCCATTCAATTATGGCATCAGCAGAGACACAAAAATCCTTCCAATTATTTCAGTGGAATCTTCATTTATTCATTATTTCAGAGGCTGAGCAAATGGTTTGTGTAAACATATCCTTCAGTAACACGCGCATGTTTATTTTAGCCATCTGAAGGCTTCTTCTATGTTTATATAAGCCATCAGACACATACAGCCACTCACTTGTGGCTTTGCTTCTCTTGAAAGGGTGAAGGCAGAGAAGAGGGAATGAAACAATAAATCCAGTTGCTCTTTTGCATAAAGCACCTCCTCCAATGTTTTAAAATAACTAATGTTTATATTATTCTTGGATTGTCCTTCGGCTTTCTTTTTCATTCAATTATATTGCTCTTTCATACTTGATAGTACAAGCCATGTTCAGGCTATAGTTTCAAAAAAAGAAAGCCAGTCAGGGAGTTAACTGCTATGTTTGTTTATACCTACATAACTCACATATGCCGCAGTGTAATTTGTCCACATCGGAGGACAAAGCGCAGACGCAACAGAACAGCGTCAGCAACTCATCACCTATTACCCTCCCCGGAGCTGAGCCCCTCCTGACTCAAGAAATGAGCCCTTCCCCAACGCATTTCACTCTGGGTTAACTGCAGTAACCTTTGGGTTGGACAGAAAAACTCACGTTTTCAAGGTGCAAGCAAAACACACACACACACACACACACAGGGCTCACAAAATTCTAAGGTCAAAACAACAAAACACCTTCAGGGTTGCAACCTAAATAAGTCTGTGAAAACTTTCCGATGGAGTCAGCCGCGGTTCCTAAGGGACTGTTTCTCCGCTGGAGTGGGGGCGGGGCCGAGGGGGAGGGGGATGGAGGAAATCTTCCAGCTTTGATTACAGTAGCCCAGCTCCACAGGCACTGCCGTTTCCAGTCCTGCCCAAGGTGCTGCTTGTGACATGGAAACACGTCTACAGGAGGATGGGCTTAAAGCAGAAAGGGAGGCTACCACGGACAAGGGATTGTACTAAGAAAGAAATGGCAACAAACAACAATCAAAACAAAATAAAACGAAGCAAAGCCAAAACACAGAGCAAAACCCAAACACCTTCTTAGCTTTGCCCTTTTCTACTACGAAGTCTCCAGGGATTGCCTTTTGTTGAAAACAAAAAGCAACAACCACCACAAAAATAGCCCGATAGTTTCTTTATTATTCCATTATGACAAAGGCAGATTATTTAATTCTCTGGTTGAAGGGCTCTACATTGCTCAGATATTTTCAATTTAATCAGATAATTTTAAAGCTGCAGCAGTGCCCTGATGATTTTAGATGTCTGTTGTCTGCCTTAAAAGTAGTAGTATTGCAGAAGTTTATGATTTCCTTTTTCAGTATCTTTTCTAGAAAAAAAAAGCACACGAAGCTTCATAAATAAGCACAGAGCACAAACTATAAACCACGAATATGTTATGAATATGCTGTGCCACTGACATGGCCTATCTGTATTATCAGATATGGACTCTACTATTAGGGTCCTATTAAAAAAAATTGCTGTCTTGTTTGAGCATATTTATTGTAAACTGCAGGATACTTAGGTTTTCAGAACTGTGAGCACCTGTATCAGTCACCCAGCATTTGGGACAGCCTGCCACAGAGATTCAATAAACACCTGCTGAATGCATGAATGTGATGGCCACCATGATCAATGACGTGCCTTCTGAATCATGATAAAAAGGGAATAAACCCAGAAGCTACCTTTATAAAACCTTTTGAAGTATTAAGGCCATTCTCTATATCCCATTATCTATTAATCAAAAAAGTGTTACTATCTTTGAGAGGGGAAGAAAAAAAATCTTAACAAAATGAGTTCTGAGTTTCTTTCCAACTCCTTCTAACCTGAAGCTTGTTACCACACCAATTTTTTCAACAAGAGGGAATTTTGTAACATGAGCAATGCTCTCCAAAGAACTAGGTTTAGTCATCATATTAATTCACTCAGATCCATGTGTTCTGTGGTGATTCATTGTCCACTCACCTTTTCGCTTTCGGGGATATCAACTTTTGATTCAAAAAATGACTAGGAACTGGGTGCAGTCATATTTCAAATCACCAATAACTTATATCTTTATTTGGCTTTAATGTTCTTTATAGAGGTGCTAGCCTACTTTAGAGAAGTAAATGTCAATCGACAATCCACAGATTTAGAAGTTCACACAGCCGTAGCCACATTTAAAAACATGAGTAGACTTCATCTGATTTGCAATTCTTATCAATACGGTAAGGTTTATACGCAGCCAGAGTCCCTTTTGCTGACTGACAGAGAGAACATGGACTATCAGGAAGTTATTTAATCAAATAAATCCAAACATGGTGTTATCAAATCGATTAAATTAACTTAAAAATAATTAAGACCACTCAAATAAGACATTTTCATTGGATTTAATTCATAATCTTATTAAGACTATTTAAATAAGATGCTTTCCTTGTGCTTATTTTCTTTTTTATAAGCCTATGTTGTATTTTTTTCCAAATGGAGGAATTATATAAAATTCTTGGGGAAAAAATTAAAATATGTAAAAATGTATACATTTTAAAGTGGATGCTATACCGATCTTTAAAAAGAGGAAAAGTCCTATCGTATTCGTTTTAGGAAGAGTATTAATAAAAACTCATGAAATTTTTAAATGGACTCCAAATAATTTTCACCTGAGTAAAATTGGACATTTTGTTAATCGAATTCTTTTAAACTCTACTTTTCAACAGTTTCTATCAAGTAAAATGGAGATGGGCAACATGTTTACAACTGATATCAGAGTATGTACTTTTAACACAGGCATTACAATTATAGCAAGGCTGGAAAATTATGTTGGCTCTACTTTTGGTGAACTCCTTATGGGATTACCTCACTCTTTTCTATAAATTATTATCTCTTATTACATACGATTATGCCATGAATTTTAATTATTTAACTTGTCAATTTGACACAATTTGTTCTTTATTAAAATAATACATAAGCTGATTTAGCACAACTAACTTTCCAAAACCAATACATGAGACAATATCAAACTAGTTTTGAAAATGAAGTTTTAGAATAATTTTCTCAGCCAACCAAATAAATTCAGTTCTCGATTCAATCAACAAACAGAGGTTAAAACTTTATTTCAACCAAATTCCTTCTTTAGCTATTGATTTCAACAATCTTCTGACTCCAGAATTAATGAGTGCTGCTAGTAACAGTTTAATTGATTAACTGGAAAATCTTCTTCTAGCTTTTCCCTTCTGACAGGGGAAAAAGCGAACAGTAAAATGGTTCAAAGTTAGCAGTAGAGGAAAGAGCTGAAGTGAGAAGAGTCTATAATGCGAAAAAACCAATGCTTTATTCAACCTCAATTGGCTGAAAAATCTTCCCTAGAACTATGATTTCATTTTTCAGGTCCTAAGATCTAAGTGTCAAATCTTCTCCCCGCTCCCCCCCCCCCAACTTATAAACTGTTGAAAACATTTGACAGCACTTAGAAATTCCAATGATCACTTAGCATATGCTACAGTCCCAAATTAATTTGAAGTTGCATTTACATCAGAAAGCAAGGAGGAGGGGAGGGAAGGAGGGATGGTAAAGCCAAAACAACTAAATTTTTAACATATACTTTCTGTAAAGCTAGTTAAAAACAAAACACTATAGCTCAGGTAATTTTTAGGTGTAAGTGTAGGGTTGGAAATAATTAAAATGTTACCTTTGCCAAGTAATTCCCAATGTATCCTCACTGGTACTGGGGTATAAATGCCTGCCGTTTTGATTCATGGTCCAGTCACAAATCCTCAGCTGTCAATTGAAACCTAGCAGTCAGATATGGATCGAGCAGTACTACAGTTTTTAGTATTTAAATGAACACATGCAAACTAGTATTGTACATGGCATTAACCTTACTTTCCCAAGAGGCAACTTAAAGAAAAAAAAAAAAAAAGCAAAAGAAAAACCTTACTCTGCAAAGCAAAACTTCCTAGACTTTTTTTTTTTTTAGAAAAACCTACTGCAATATGCTTCTCTATTAAGTAAAGCATACAAGAGAAACGAGTGCTTAGAACATCACAATTAGCCATTATTAGAGTACAAATCGAGCTGAAATAAAAGCAAACGTTAATATTCAATAGAGAGATATATTTTAGGAAGAACATAAAAAAAGCTTTTTTTATGCAACATACCAAATCATCTGCACGGAGTAAAATAATCAATAACTTTAAGCATGCAGTTTGCAAAACACAGGAGACATGCAGTTTAGAGGAGTAAAGACCCCATCTCTACGTCCCCCCTAGCTTACGTTTAGAAGCATCAAGGCACTCTGTTTTAGATGTTTCCTAATTTTGTTTTAGCCAAAGAGGCACCGTTTAGGAAGAGTTGATAAGAATTTCTATTTTCGTTTTTAAACTCCGAGTAATGGTATTTAAAATACTTTACCCATCTGAATAGAGCGAGGAATGCTCGGAGTACAAGCTGAAACAAATTCTTCCCAGATCTCGGAGTCATCAGCTCTGCCCTTTGGAAGAGGGTTCGAGTAACCCTATCCAGCTCTGTTTGGCTCACAGCTGCCCTACAGTGCTAGCAGATTTATTGAAAAGATATATTGCTTATTTTTATGCTTAAGAAACTAAACTTATCTGGCTCTGGGGGGGGGGACACCCCACTAGAAGATCATAGTTTTTAATTGTTAGATAGCCATGCTGTAAATGAACTGCATCTCGCATTGTAAAGTTGACTTACAGCAATCCACTGAACCCTGTTTGCTGCTTTTCAGTGAGGATTTCTACAAGATGATGATTGCAGCCAAAGTGCCTTTAAACTGATGATAAATTATTGTAATCCTTTCTGATAATGTTATGGCTAAAAAAAAATTGGCTATTAAGAACCTTTACCTTTCCTGTTAGAACAATGAGTTTCTACACATTCTAAGTAACAGTGATTCTGGAGTTTTAGAATAATCGTTTTGCACACTTTTCTACAGATCTATGAGTCTCCAAAAATACCACCTCAAAATTTCCAAAACATGTGTTTTCATTATATTGATATTTTAGTTGAAAGTAGTTTTATAAAGAACTGAAAAAATTCCCTTAAGGTAGGTCGGCAGATAGGTAAGTAGGTAGGTAGGCAGATAGATAGACAGATTGATAGATAGACTGATAGATGGCCAGATAAATAGATTGATAGATACATAGATTCTTCTCAGAATGTATTCATAAAGAAGCTATAAACCAGTAAAAAAATTAAATTGGAATGAAAAATATTCTTAAAATGGACCATCATACTTGCATGATGGAGAAAATGTATACTTGCTTAGTTTTAAAATCAAACAGATCACAAACTTTATGGCGAGATTTTTGTCAAGTTCTCCAAATGGATCATCTAATCAGTAATGCAATGTGATGGGGCAACCTGAACTTGTTTTTTTACAGCAACAGTAAGCCAATTGTCTATTTCAAAATATGGTTTTTAAAAGCAGTACTATGAAAATAAGCTAAAAACAGTTAAAAAAAAACAAACAAAAACGAGCTTGTGTAAAGATGACCTTAGGGGCAACTTACTGATTCTGCTCTAGTCAATGAAAATCCTAGTTTTCGGTCAATTAAATATTCTCAAGAATGGAGGTGTCTCTTCAGGCACAGCTCCTGATAATTCTGCTAAATTCAGGTTAGTTTCTGTGGGGCTCTCAGCTTAGATTGGACAAGTGTTCAGAAAAAGATGCTTTCACAAAACCATGTGAACCTAAATATTACTCGCTGATGAACTGACTTGTCTCACAAGCAATTACAGGAACCCTATGTCTCCTTGAAAGGAAGCATTTGTAAACTGCTTAGTTTTTTGTTGTTCACATTGCTCATGTTACATTTATTTGTTTGTTTACCATCCTAAAATATGTCAGGTGGGCTACCTTTGGCCACATATGTAACATTTAAAATCAATGTATTTTTGGGCTTTTCTTTCCTAAGAGTAGTCCCAAAGGGGTTAAACCTGACTATAGCTATTCAATTTCACCCATACTTAAGATAAATTCAATAGGAATATTTTCTTTCAAACAGAAAATATGATGAAATACATACAAAATGATCACTGAATGTAGTAATTAGCAGTAATCTAGATGCCAAAGAAATTGGCAGGATATTAATCTGTATTGAGTTAATTTCCTCTCCATTACTGAAAATGAAAAATATAAATTATACTTACTTATTAGCTACCTAGATTGTGAGGTAGCATTTATCAACATTTCCAAAAATTTCTGAGGAGACAGGTTTATACATGCTTATTTGTTATAAGTAACTTAAGCCAAGTCATTTAAGCAAGAGTCTCTTCAGGTTTTTTGGTCTTACTTTATTAATTAACCTTCTTTTGCATAAAACATCTTTGAATTAATAAACCTCCTAGTAAAGTAAAATTTTAAAGGTGATGGTGTGGTAGGGGAAACAAATAATTAAAATAGAAATCACCTCTTCACTAAAGATTTCCATGACATTATTCCTAATAAGTTCAATTACGAAGACTGACAAAGATAGTTCTGACTCAGCAAATTTTGAATAGATTCTAGGTGATAAAAGGTTAATACTAGGTGTATTAAAGCTTCCTTTTGGGGCATGTTAAATGTTCTTAGTATTAACATAAGTCAGTATCCCCAACAACGAAAACTTTTTACATTATGCTCTAAATAAATTTAAAATAATAGGTGATAATGTGATTTGAAGTTGGCATGATGATTTCTCAGTTTCCGTCCTGTGAGACAGGCAGCGTCACATACTTTAGCTATCAATTCTTTTTAAATTAAATTTTAAAACTTTAAGTGGTACCTAAGCTTCAGTAACACTGTAATGGCTTTTCCAAGTATTTTCCCTCAAAAATTAGGAAATTACTTGCTTTCTCCAATGTAATCAAACTTAAAACTCTAGGTACTGATTAATTTAGAAATTTAGTTTATTAAAGTTGTCTGTTAGATTGGAGATGGATAGCAATTCTTATTTTTGTGACAATATAGAGTCTTTGATAGACCTGAGCATATGTATATCCTTATAGAAATGCACACTCACATAAATAATTTTAATTCTTTAATTTATATGCATCTATCAATATGAAATTAGAGTATCTAGAAAATTAAGGTAAAATTTATATTAAAACAATTATATATAATTCCAAAAGCAAGTGGAAGGTGAGGTAAAGAAGCAAGATTCTCCTCCAGAAAAGCTATGAGTAAAGGGTTAAGGTGGAAATAGTCCAAACTAAGAAAGAAGTGAAGGTTAAGTTTTCACTGCATATGTTCTTAGGATGGAGTTCTTTAAAGTCTCTGGGATGAGAACATTGTTCCTTGCCTACAAGGATGGATCCAACCAGTTTTCCTCAAAAATCTACATAGGAAAAAAAAAATCTACATAAGGGAAAACACCTAAGATTTGGATCATTAGCTTTTCCTACACTACACTCACATAGTCATGTAGGTAGCTGACAGCCATAAAGAATCAATATTGCTTGTGATTTCAGAGTTAAGATTTTGTTTATTCAAATGAGGGCCCTCCATTGTTGTTAACAGGGGCTTTTGTTAAATGCTTAGCAATTAGCTTTGGGAACAAAGGAAAGAAGGTAAGCAAAATGTTCTATTTTGCTAGACTCAGCAAACAGGCCGATGAACTAACAGTCCCTCATGATGACAACAGCTCTCAGTTGAACCAATAAACCATTAAACTGTAAACAGAATAATCAACACAGGCAAATTTACCTTCTCACTTTTTTTTTAAGTTTACAGGGACCCTCAAGGGAATAGCTTGAAAGGTATGTTTTTATGTTCTCTTAGGTTTTTTTCATTTCTCCAGATAGCCTCAAGGAAACAGATTTTTGAGGGGTAGAGGCGCTTTTGAGGGGATGCTTAAAAAGATTAACCACTCCAATATCCAAACTCTCCTCTAACTCTTAGATTAGTAGAATTTTATTTTATTGCTATTATTAATTACTCACCATGGATCAAATAAAATGGCCTCTGAATGAATAGGGTGTAGCCTTACTGAACAAGCAAAATGTTCAGAATGAAACTGTTATATGTAAGACATATAACACATTAAAAAAAAAAGATATTCAAGATCATCCTAGTACCTTGAATTCTAATGTCAGTTTCTGAAACCCATGCTTCTTGATATTTAATTGAATTAGTGCAGTAGAATTACTTTAAATGGGTATGCATGGCCCATGAACAAAGTAAACATAACTGATCATGAATCATAAGTATCAGAAAATGAAAGTTTTTTTTAGATGGAGACTACTTTAACTTGTAAAATTTAAGGTTTCACAGGAACTCGGAGATTGTGTAATTCAACCTCTACATTTTCCTTTCCAAGATAAGGATACAGGACAGCAAAGTTTATGGACTTGTCCAAGGTCAGACACGCCCTGTTTGTGTCAACATTAAAACCACACTTGCAAACTCCTATTCCCTGGTTCTCACCCAAGACACTAGTTTGCCTATCACTGTTCTTTTCCTACCCTGTCCTTCATGTGCAACCCAAGAATATTTAAGACTAAAATGGCTATAATTATAACCTTCAGAATTTCCTCTACTTACCTGATTCAACTTAGATCTTCTAAAGTAAATATTTTCAGGGAAGAAGAAAAATTTTCCCTTGTGATTTTGTTGATTGAATTTAAGGTTACAGCAAACATAACTTTATTTTTACATTAATTAGAATGGTCTATCTGGACATTAGCATTTGATAACTACTCAAAGTAAAGTTAATAAATAAATGAATAATAAAACAGACCATGGAAGGTTTTTTTAAAACTTAAGAACTAACCAAAAAGCTAAACATTTGCATAGCCGTTTTTTTGACTGAAACTTCCTTTAAATGTGTTTCCTCTCCAGCTAGCATATGTGAAGAGTGACCTCTTATCCATTTACATACCTACCCAGAAGTCATGTGATAGGGTTTTACGTCAAGCTGTCAATTATGATAACAGACACAATAAGAACAGCCCAAGTGTTGATAGCCTGCTTCCTGACTTTATTGAAAAGTTTGTTGATAGTCCACTTGTGTCCTTTCAATTGCTTGCCTCTAATAAAAGACTACCTTTCCAGTGGTCTCAATATACCTAGCTTTGGCTTTGCCATTTGCCAGGACAAACATTGTAAAGAAATTTCAATTAATATCTTAATTAAAAAAAAAAAATCCTGCAGAGGCAATGTCTTATTAGGAAGCCATCTGGTGTAAGAGAAATGTCCAGTGTAATGAAAAGTACCTCCAAATTTGAGTTTCAAAACTATATCAAGGAAAGTGTTGAAAATATTTTGATATAAGGTGGCCCAGTAATTGAAATTGAAATAATAGCATTAAGTAGTCATGCAAGAGATGTAACATGCTGAAGCTCAAGCACCAATAAAATCCATGCAATTGTGTACATAAGGACCTGAGTTGATCAGGCCATGTATTCATTAGATCTAATAAGTGCTATATATAGTCAGATTATAATTTTGAGAGATGATGAAAACAAGCCTTACATCTTACGAACTAGAGCTTACTTGACTTTGTTGTCTCCCTTTGGAAAGGCAAAAGGGACCTCCCATTTATTTTAGCAAAATCTCAAATCTATATCAAAAGTTAATATGCTTTTCAATAGCTGGTTCAAATGGTAATCTTTTATCTCCAAACAAGAAGCTTCTTAGTTACAAACTTTTATTTCCAACTTGCAGTAAGATTTTTTTTATATGTTGTACTGATGTATAATAGTAAAGATTTATGTTTTTATTATAACCTTCCACTCAAATAGAAGGGTGAAAATCAAGTTAACGAGACCCTCTTTGATCCCGCAACTTTCAATGAGAGCAAAGAAGAAGGCCTGAGATTTAACAAATTCATTATGAGGTTGACCAGATAAGGAACTGGTGTTAATTCAAGTAAGTTGTCTCATATTCGCCATTTATGCTAAAATCAGTAGACTGGATTATAGAATAATTTCTGTATTTTATGAGCAAAGTCCAACACTCTGCTAGAGTTCCCATTTTGTCAAAGAGACAAAACTTGGGACATGTACTTCCCTCCTTGCCTATCATGGTGAGTGTGCGCCGTGCACTCCGTGCAGTGTGAGGAAAGGTAAACACTGCATTCTGCTAAACTTCTGTGAAGTGAAGTCAGAGAGGAGGTCCTTGACACTTGTGAAAAAGTTCCGAATCATAAAAAAGACATTTCTCAGGAGAGACTACAGAGTTCAGTTTGCCAAAGCAGGACCCAGGAGTTCCTTAAGCCACCACACCATCTTCCAACAGAAAAGTTAAAGAAGAATATGGAGCTCCAATTGGTGTCTGCTTTCAAGATCTCCCCAAGCCAATAATGAGTGCATGAACTAAGTCAATCATCCCACAGACAGTCTAGTTCCGGACCTTGAACCACACAACACACAAGACTGTGTTAGGGGATAAAGGAAAAATTTCAAGTCCTGATCAGCCGGCATGAGCTGATTATTATGACCAATTGGAGAGGATTGTTTTTAATGGCAAATTATCAACTGGTTTCCATGAATCTTTTTGAACTACTCTTCATGATTATGGATTTTTTTATTTTTTAGATTCAAATGAGATATCAATATTTGCAGTGACAGGTGAAATTCCTGTGTCAGAAAAAACTAGTATTTCAAGTCCGTTGGCAACCAATAATAATCAGCAATAACCATTATCAAGGAGCACAGAGATGTATAATTACTAATAACAGCTGTATGTGTACCAAGTTGATGGGCATAAAAGCATATACTTTTAGGAGTCAAATTTGCCAATATGGACATATTACTCTTACAAGTGGAATATAGGGTTAATTTTAACATTGGTCATCTCAATCGAAGAAGGCCAGTATCCTTGTGTGTTAGAAATGACTATATTGAAGGGTCTGCTTTATTGTCATCGTGTGGAAAGATTATTTATAAGATAGTCAGAATTGCTCAACAATTTTAAATTTATCGTTAACCCTAATTTATGTAGGCTATATTAAAGTTCTTTTCTGAGAAAAAATAGCACAGCACAATGCACATCAATACTTTTCATAACCTAAAAGGATAAATCTTTATAAAGCAGCCACCAATAAACTGAAGAATGTACCTGGTGACAATATTTATTCTTAAGGGGTCATGTATATTAAAGGCTATGGGGAATGTTTAAAAGAACTCTCTCAGACTAAATCCATTGCCTTTCTAATTTTGAATTTCTCCTAGCTAATATAAAATGATTGATTACCTTTATTTCATGTACCCCTTGATTTTCCTTTTCATTCATCACTGAGTGCTTTAAACCAAATGCATTTAGAACCTGCTGTTACAAGAGTGGTCTCTTTTAAATCTTTGTAAAGTAATGAAAGGACACAGTAAATCAATCTCATTTCTGCTGTGGGAAAGCATAACCTTTACTCTACTGAAGTCACTTAAACTATTTCTGTCCCTCTGTTCCTGGATAGTAAGCCTGAAACTTCAGCTCAGTGGTTCTTTTAAAATTTAAAAGCATAAAAGTAATCATGTTTTAACTGGAACCTTACTTCAGTAATATTCATGTATAGTATGAGATGAATGTACATGCATTTTCTGCATGCCTCAAAATTGTAGCTCATTATAAATCTGGCATATTGAGCTTCTTCATTTCAAAAAGTAGCACTAAGTCTTCCATTATATACAGGGCAAATTATCCATTTGCCTGGTAAATACCAATCCTCAATAGAATTGAACATTACATGTTTAGCTCTGAAGCTTCTATAGCTTTTTTCTTCCAAGGATCAAGACACGTGCATTCCATAAATATCAACCTCATGTGACCAAACAAATATTATTTATATTGTAAGGGGTCTTCACTTGACATTGCCCACTTAAATAAGAAGTGGTGGTCTTTGATGAGAAAAGTTTATAGTTCCAGAACTCATATATATATACATATGTATATATGTATATATATATACATATATATATATTTGTCTTAATTAAAGTATGCTCAGAACTCCATCTACCTTAAGGCTCACGCTTTCCTGATGCTAAGTTTTCTTGATTTATCTTTGGGATATGTGAAAGAAGAAGTATCTTCTGCATGATGAACTTTTGTGATCATAATTCCCTGAGCCTCTAACATTAGTCATAAGTGATAAATATAAAAAAAATATTAAAGCTGCCACAGGTTAGCATAGGGGGATGGGAAGACTGCTTCTAAATACATGGAACTGGGTATAATCTAAATGCGGGACTAAAGGTTTAAATAATGGAGGCATGTGTCTATGAATTAAAAAATTAACTAGAAAGTAGAGATGTGTCATAAAGAATAATGCAAATCCCATGGTAAAAATATTTCTGAAAATATGTGGAATGATTTTTAAAAGAACAAGTCTCTAAACCTATAAATCCTACATGTTTTTAGAAAACACAGTGAACATATACATTTGTCAAATATAACCATATTATAGTAATTATAACACATTTCACATTATAGCAATTTTAGAGGTGAAAAAAAGCAACATTCCAGAGAATTATGTTGAAAAGCCAATGGCAGGCAAAACCACTAATTATTATTTGGTATTTTCGTAACTGTGTACAGATGTTTTCAGTTAGTTCTCACCCTTTTTGTTTTGTTTTGCTTTTTAAAAATCTGGCACAATGTCAAATATCTTGAATAAGCTATCATCTTTATGATTTTTCTCTGAACTCTGCATGTGGTGACCTTTGATCTACGCCGTCTGCTACCTTGGTCCGCAACTGGGCAGGACTTGGGAATTCTGCAGGAGGCACAGCTAAGAGAGATACAACACGAGCTAGGTGGGCAAGTTCACAACAAAAGAAGCAGGCATGAGTACCTGCGCGGGCTGACCACATACGTAAAAACACAGACAGATGCGAGATACGCGCATTCAGCTTTCGAACGAAGAGCCAGTTAGTTTATACCAGCTTTTTCTTATTCATGATAGCCTATTTTTCCCTATTTAATATTTTGCACACTGTTAATTTCAAACCACTCTGCTATCAGAACTCGAGAGCAGCAAACATATGCATCATAAAATGTATTTAAATTCTGAAGTGTTTGGAATTATTTCTGTCATCCTATAACTAGAATCGTGGGATTTCTGTATTGGTATGTTCCATGCTTTTGACTGTGGCTAATTTGTTTATAAGCCACCATTAATCCTGGCTGTATATTTTCACAGTTTGGGTAAACACTTCATTTGCATTAAATTTACAGCATTAATGAGATGTGAAATTTAAAATGCTACTTGAAACATAAATGATGTAAGAAAGCAGAACAAAAAAAAGTGTTTTATCACATCTGAAATCAGTAAACCAATTTAAACCTATTAAAACAGGAATGATGTATCGCCTGAGATTTTAGCTTCATAACTCATCCTCTTGGACTAAAAGTCCAAAATGAGGAGTAAAACATCTGGAAAATATGAAAGGGCTCAAAAACACAAACTGTGTACTGCTTCTACTCTAATGGGCTTTTCAATCAGTTTTCAATTTTTTTGTCTTCAAAAGCTAAAGGCTAGTAAGTTCTCAATAGCCAATAAGACTGAGAAAAATACCCTGGCCGAGACCCTGTTACTCATGGATGTTATGGATAGAGGTCACAGAGATGGAAAAGGTCTTGAGCCAATTTGAGAAACCCTGTTTAGAAAGGCAAGAAACAAAGGATAAATGAGAAAATATTCTGGAAAATGAAATGATCAGTTTCTTTCCCAGAAGCCCCGGGAGCCCCATTCTGAGTCCAGATCTGAGAGGCAGCATGGAGAGAGCACCAATGCGAAAGCTTGCTACACCGTCACACCTGGGTGAAACGTGCCCACCTGTTGCTGATGTAGGAAGGATGGGTCTCTTGGGCTTAGTCCCACATATCGATTGGCTTGAGATGTGCCTGAGGCTGTGTAGGCTGATTAAGGAAGAACAAAAACAAAGATAAAAATTGTGAACTATCAGAATGAACACCCTGTCCATGTAAAAGAAAACCCAGGACGTGGGATTTGCAACCGAAAAAAAAAAAAAAGTGTCTCTATTTCCCTATTCTTTTGTTTGAGTGAACACCAAGTGATATAAAAGAAATGGCGGTTGACCTCAACTCAACTCCTTTACCCCCTCCCCAGAAATCTGTCCAATCAACCACATGCCGGCCTCTGGTGTGGACATCTCACACTTATGTGCTCCAGTTATAGAACTGCAGGGGAACCAGGGACTGGCTAAGTAGAAGGGTTTTCCTACTTGTCCTGTTTCACCAGATATTAGTTGTCTAATAATGGGACAATCAATGATGGTCTATGATTCTAAATGTAAGACTGAAAGTCTATTGGGAAAAAGCTTGTAATGAGTGGGATTTAAGCAGATGAGCTTGATGATACAGAAAGAAACATGTCTTACTAAAGAGAAAATCTAATATTTCTAACATGAAGGAGAAGCCTATATTTATGATATCATATAGAGTGAATTAGGTCAGTATTCTATTTAGTGTGAAAATGACCTTAAGTTTGATAGAAATGTTTTTGAAAAAAATTCTTTCTTTTCCATAAGCACAAAAAGTCAATTTCTTGTGACTGGTCCAGGGAGGGGTGGTAGCACCTTTGAAATACTTGGCCACCAGGCACTAAGTACCTATGGTGAATATTCCTTAAGTTATTTACTCTCACCTTGTAAGTACTTTTTGTAGAGGTGCTTTTTGGTACACAGTGAAGTTTCCAAAGAAAACGTCTCCCTATTCCTAAAGATTTCTGTTTGTTTTCACAAGGAAAGGAGTTCCCAGCACTAAAGCAATCCCATTGCTCCCTGCCGGAATAAAAAGAACTACATTTTCACCATTCACGTTACATCTACGGGTCTGAAGGAAGCTAAAATGTTTGGTTTAACACTATCAGATTAATAAGAAATCCAGACATTAATCTTTAAAAGGTTTTTTTTTAACCAAATATATTAATTCTGCCATGTTCATTTGAAGGGTTGTAGAATTAGATCCATTGAAGCTTTTTTAGGTCAACTTTTTAAAACAGTGAAGATGCTCACAATTCAGCATTAATTACTCCTGAATAAAGGGGCCCATCCAAGGACAGCCATAAGAGTGGGGCCCCTACTCGATCTCCAGGCCCCTGGAATTCAATATACAGCACGGACAACTGGAGAAAAGCCTCACCCTTATAGAGTGGCAACAAGTCTGAGGTATTTTCTCTTTCCAGCCATGAGAAAGAGGTTTCCCTGGTCTATGTGTTTTCTTTAATTTTATTGACTTATCAGCTCAAAGACCAATTTTTCATTATCAGTGCTGTCTCGGGAGCTAGAGCTCCAAGTTTGTGTATAGGGAAGAAAAACAACTCACTATATTTCTTTTATGCAGGAGTGGAAAATGGGCTGATAACAGCCATCTTTATACAACCAAGATATTCCCTCTGAGTATTTTGTAATTTTATTAGTCAAATCAGATCCCTTTTTGACCAACCTATAGGTGAGTATAAGAACAGTGCATTAGCAAGCAGGCTGACAACACTCCCATAGAGAGCTGTGATCATTTGGGTCTGATCTTCCCTTGAGTGTCATCTATTAATGTCACTAGAAGAGTAGGTACCTGAAGTTTCTAGAACTTGGTTTGAATCATTTATCCTGTGATAGTCTTTCAAAAATTTAAAAAAAAAAATCTTTGTTTTCTATTTGCCTTTATTTAAATTGCTGACTTTGCTAAAAGAAGCCAACACATCCACTTTTAAAAGTATTTTAGTGGCCGTAGTGTATATAGCTAACCTTTAAAACAAAAGAATTTTTAATCTTTCTTGACTGGATTTCATCCATCTGTGCATTCAGGGAAGTGCTCACTGGACCCTCTACCAACTGACCAATTACAAAAATTAATGATGATTGATGGGAATTATAAGCCTACATGGACTGATTAGGCTATGGGGCCTCATGAATTTTGAGAAAGAAATGCTCAATTCACTGTACCCTCAAAGTATTGTCCTTTTTTCTTGTAGTGTTCCTTCCTAGGTTTTCAGAAGTCACCAAAAAAAGAAAAGCAAAAAAAAAAAAAGGAAAACATCTTTCCAAAGCCTGAGAAAGAAAGAGCCAGTGGTGTCTCTGTACTTTCACTTAGAAATTTCCAGAGCATGTCAATTTTTTTTTGCTCTAGGAAAGAAAATGGAACCTCTGAATTTCAGATACAGAATGCATAATTGATGAGGAGCCTGCTAATTACTCCTGTCTGGAACTTTATCCATTCCGCTATACCAGTTCTAGGAAGCCGGTAGTTTTGTTGAAGCCAATTAAAAAATTGTGTAATAATTTTTTATGTATTGATGAGTATTCTGTATGAAGAAGCAAAGGAATCATTGGTTTATTGGTACGTTCTTTGTTAAGTCCACTGGCTAAATCTCTGACATTTAAAATGTGATAGCCATGTTAAAAAGCGTAGTACCTGATGTATCATGATAAGCAAAAAAAAAAAGAAAAGAAAGAAAAGAAAAAAAGTCATAGACAATGAAAGTGTAGGTAGCAGCTTACATGTGCCTCATACTCAGCTTCGAAATGTTCTCATCCGCACCCAACATCCTGTAACTGTTTTTTTTGCAATGACATAACCTACGGTAATATAAACGTGCAATTATCTTTCAGAGGCACTGATTCAGTCTGCCTTGTGAAGGGCACTGATTTCTCTAGGAATGCTCCAATAAGTAACAATTATCTGATCTCTCTCTGGGTGACAGAGAAACCTTGCACACTGCATTACGTTATTCGGTGTCTTTTCAATGTATACCTTGAACAAGCAGGCATGACTTATCATCTTTGTTAGAGCTGTTTATTCAAACAAATACGCTTCTCCCTTTTCAAATATGATGTACGGACTGAAATTTGATAAGAGAGAGCTTGTGATAGCCAGGCCACATACATGCCTGCTAGTTCCACATAAATGAGAAATCTCCATCGGGTCTGACAAGTTGCCGTGTTCTCCACCTTGGATCAGGTATCCAATGGCGCCTTTGATGGACATTTCTCATTTCCTACAGAAATACTTACTGGTTGCTGTAGGTGAAGCTGCCTCACCTTCAGTGGATGTAGTGATGGGTTTAGTATCTGTCATGGTCAGGGTCACAGGTCGCATTGCACTGGGATGGGGAGAGGGTGCCAAGACAGGTGTGAAATGGCCAGGCACTTTCCCTACCACTTGACCACTGCTGTTAGGCTACAAAACAAAAACAGAACGCCGGGTGAAACAATCCAAAAGGCAGTCGTCTCGTCCAACAGCTCCACTCCGCGCACGTGGCCACGTGAACCCTGCGGACTTGCTGGGAATGCCACAAGCCCTCTCAAGCCTGAGTCACAGGGACCAACCAGCGGTTAGTAGTAAAAAGAAGCAGCAGCGTTTCAAAGAAAGTCTTCACCTTCAAAACACTGTACATCGGTAAGTTCATCTTTACAACACCCCTGAGAGTCAGGTAGACTGATCCTTTCATTCAGTAGCACGAAGACTCGAGTGGAGACTTACATGCTGAGCCCAAGACAACAATGTAAGTCCTCCCTGAGCTAGTGAGAATTTGAGCCATGCCTCTTCCTTCTCTGCTCTTCGTTTTCTGTAGTGAGTCTGTTTGGGCTTTCAGAACACAATTCTCACCTAATGATACTATCACTGACACAAAGAAGACGAGGGTATCTAGGAGCTCAAACACATCAAACTCAATAGTTTCCATCATTTATAGTCAAGGCCCATCTTCTGCGTTCAAAACCTCTTAGCTCTCCGTCGCACACAGGGACGCTCGGACACACACATCAAGCCATTTAGATTCAAGGATCTCCGCTTCACTTTTGGTGATTTACTCATACGAGCAGATAGAATGATATTTAAAGCATTTAAAATTTCAGGTCCACACCATGATATACAATGATGGACTAGGCCTGACTTTACAGCTACAAATAAAAGATTTCTAAAGTCAATTAAAATGTGCTGAAGCAGAGGCGGCTGGGAGACTCAGTCGTTAAGCGTCTGCCCCTGGCTCAGGTCATGATCCCGGGGTCCTGGGATCGAGCCCCGCATCGGGCTCCCTGATCAGCGGGGAGCCTGCTTCTCCCTCTCCCACTCCCCCTGCTTGTGTTCCCTCTCTTGCTGGGTCTCTCTCTGTCAAATAAATAAATAAAATCTTTTAAAAAGAAAATGTGCTTAAGTAAAGCAGAGGGCAATCAAATATACTTTGTTACTTAAGTTACTCCTCCATGGCTGGGCATGGAGAGTTACACCAAACATTATTGTTGACATTTGTGGGAATCAACTGAGAAAATCCCCAGGGCAATGACAGAAAAGATATTAATATCTGAGTTTTAGCCCCGGGTATGAAAATAGTATCTGTGGTAGGAGAAAAAATCCTAAGGGTACACTGCTTGAAAAAAAAAAAAAAAATACTGGAATGTATTTTTCTAGACAGAGAACGTTATTCTTGATTATACTCATGTTGGAATTCTCCACTGTATGATGTACATAACAATTTGCCATGAGAATATTCTCCACAAATATTTAGTCTTTATAATCAGCACTGTTAAAGGCAAAGAATGCAATGAAGCAGAATATTTATCTAAATACCTGCACATAAATTACCAGGAGACATTTCTTTAGACAAAAAGATGAACAGCTAATAACACTTAAATACTGTAACTCACAGACATGAACTAAGTCTTTGGTTGGGCTCCTCAGAGGCCACATTATTTATTCTATAAAGAAAATGGACTTCTTGAATATCCTGCCTATTCATCATGAGTAATTTTAAGTATTTAACTTTATGTCAGGAAAATTGACCAGAGTTTCCCCCTATGGAAACCTATGAGAGAGTTGTATCTTTTGACTAATTTTATTTAAAATAATCCACTGAATAGCATGACTGTCTTAGTCTAATCGGTGCACCAGCAATTAATCTCCAAATCGCTGTGGGGAGGATGAGGCATCTCAGTTGCTGGACTTAGCAATCAAAATCAGTGCAGGGCTGGAGGAAATCTGGGAAGGGATAGTGGACCACAGGTGAACAAGCCCTCATTTTTCCCCCCATTTTTAGAGCTAAACAGGTAAGTGTCAAGAGTCCTCTTTTGAAATGCAAATTAATTGGTTTTGAGTTGGAGCTAAAAATCAAAGGAGCTATGATGTGCCCATAAAAACAATTCTGCAGGGGTGCCTGGGTGGCTCAGTTGGTTAAGCGACTGCCTTCGGCCCAGGTCATGATCCTGGAGTCCTGGGATCAAGTCCCGCATCGGGCTCCCTGCTCGGCAGGGAGCCTGCTTCTCCCTCTGACCCTCCCCCCTCTCATGTGCTCTCTGTCTCTCTCATTCTCTCTGTCTCAAATAAATAAATAAAATCTTTAAAAAAAAAAAAAAAGAAAACAATTCTGCAGTGTACTAGAAAGATGCATTTTCTTTCAAGTGGAAAAAGTAGTTTTTTCTAAAGCAGACCATCAGCTTCTGGTTATCTGAACACTGCAAAAGACTGTTTTATGTATCTTCCTAAAGAAAGAAGAGCGATTTCGTTTTATCATTGGTGGTACATTCGGTAGTAAAAAGCATTTCTGTATAGTGTGTTCACGAAAACAGTTGGATAGGACCTACCTGAGAACACGGGACAGAAGAATGACAATAATGTCAAGAAAATGCTGCCACAGAATCTGATATTACCTCGCCCATTCTGCAAGCTTTGTCTACTGGAATGGAATCGACATGAACCAACAGACATTTCTCTCATTTTAAAAAGAATAAAACTGACAAAGAAGCAAGTCGGTCCCAAGCTGATACAGACAACTTTTCTGGAATTCAGGGTCTGGAAGAATGAGAGGGTTATTCCTTTTGGGTTTTTTACTGGTTCAAACAGATGAAGCTATACTCTAAAGCTTCTCTTTTAAAGCTGTTAGATGAACTTTCACACCATAGATATGAAAAGAGAGACATCTCATCTGAAGATGAAGTTGAACGGGATTAGGAAAGGATTACCCCGCTAGCATGTTGCTCCTATTATACAAAATCCTGAGAGGGGATTTTTTTTTTTTAAATTGAGATGAAAGTAAGATGCTTCTCTCAGAAGCTGGGTCTTTACCTTAAAAATAGGAAGAAAAGCAGAACAATAGAGGCAGATTATCACCTAATATGCCCTCTTAACTTATAAAGAAATGGAAATATACCTAAAACAAGCACTGAATAATTAAAGAAATGCGTAACACTAAGGGCCTGATTTTAATTTGCATAATTTTTCCCCTAACAGTGCCTAATTAAGACATCAGTTAAAAAAAAAAATCCAATGGAACTCTAAGATTTTCCACACTGAATTAACGTTAAGGACTTTTAATGGATGTCTTAATTAGACTTTGTTATTCATGGAAATTCTACACAAATTAAAATCAGACCTTGTGCGCCCTGTTCCCAGCTGAGTCTAGCAAAATGCTCTATGGAACTGAGACTCTTGAATCCACGATCTGACAGCAAATTTTATTTCTAAACTGATATATTAAGATCCCACTGTTTTACTTAGTAATTCTTATTATAGTCGTCAAAAGTGCTATACCATTTGAACATTTTCTTCTAAAATACAAATGGTTTAACTACAAAGTCACAACTCAAGAATGGTGTATTTAGTTTAGTATTATTAGTCAACAGAACTAAAAGTACAGGTAACTTTTTAAGTAACCCAAATGGTGCTGGCTATGTTGTTATTAAAAATAAAACGTTCAAAAAAGACCATTTTGCTTCATTTTAACAATTACAACCAAAAATGATTTTTTCAGATCTTTTCTTTGTTAATTCTAAATTAATAAGCACATACTATTCACTGGCATTTTAGTAACTGAACAGCATTGATGACAGAATGCTTATGACAATCTCTCAGAGCATTAAAAGATATAATGAGTGGGCAGGAGTCTTGAAGGTAAAGCAGCAATGTCAAATACCAGAACTTAAGATCAAAACTACATTACAGATTTGGGATATTACAATTTGTACCAGCTTTGGTACAAAGCCTATCTATTTGATCATGAAAAATCCTCTTGTATCAAATCACTATGAAGTGACCTCTCTACAGAAGAAGCCACATGTTTAAGGAGTGAGAAAGGCACATGAGTCACTACACTTACACAATAAAAGTCCCTAAAACCACTGCACAGTGTTTAAAAAAAAGAGAGAGAGAGAGAGAGAAAGAAAGAAAAAAGAAAAGACACTTCTGGTAATGTCACTCATTATTAAATGTAGTCATGTCTGTGCAAAGAATATTCAAGTAGTCATCAAACACTGACAATGTTTACATTACCAAAGCTTATTTTAATACCTAATAGTTGGTCTATAAATACAACTGTAAGTTCTTTTGTGTGTGTTTATTTTAGCGCATACCTTGCTCCTGCCTGAAATAAGCACTTTGTCCTGCATTAAACCAGGTTTTTCAGAGGTGTGAACTCCAGCTCTGAGCTTTTTGTCAATGTACTTTCTGCATAAACTTTCTTTTCAGTCAATGAAAATTCAAAAACATCAAACCAGAAATGTCTTCACAAATGTGCCCCTTTGGGGCAAGACACTTCCTACCTGTCATTCAGCCACCTTTAAATAAAAACTTATTGAGTCACCAAGAAACTTCCTGAAGATGGATTTCAAAAGCTTGATGTTCTGCCAGACATACCGTCTGAAAAAGCTTCATGTCTTAGAGTCAGACCTGTGCCATCTCCCTTAGGCTCTAATCTCATTTGCTCTCTCATTTTTACCTGGCTGGTTTGCGGACTGGATGGGTCATAAGAAGGTACATAGTTCTTCAGAGTATCCTGAGGATTCAGGTGGGGAGGATATCTGATTGTTGGATGAGAAAAGTAGCTCGATGGGGCTGGAGGAAGAATAGCTTGTGTTGGAAATGGCAGCGGTGAGGGTGGAGGCGGAGTTCGAGTCGAGATGACTGCACAGGACAGAAAAGGGGAGACTGATGTCAGCCATGGTGCCCTCTTCCCCGGCCCACCCCCCAGGACCCTGCGAGGCCGCCACGCTGACGGCTCCTCATCGCTTCCCTGTGACCGACCCACACTCCCCTGCAGGACTCCCTCGCCCACGCCGACAGGGAGAACACACAGACCCAACCCCACTCTGGGGAACTAGCGATCTGGCTCTCCAGCTCTATGAATGCTTAGACATAGGAAGTTTCTCTTTTATAGGTTAAGCCAATATTCCATAAAATGTTCCTTTAAGCAGAGTTATTTCCCATCAGAATACAATCTTTGATCAGAAAGTCTTTGTGTCTTGAGTCCAGACCAACTCACAGCATTCATTAAATGGCAGGGGCACTCACAGACTCTCTACTGAAATTCAAAACAGAAGTGTACTCCAATTTTAAATAAACATTTTCCCTATACGTCCTAGTGGGTGGTTGGTTAAAAGAGAGGCCAATAATTAGGAAACAATAATGTGCTGAATAATTACCTGATCATTGGACAAATGCTTATGAACATGTGAACGTAGGGCCTGGGAACTCTTTTTCCTAATGAAAATGTTCCTTTCAAAACCAAAAGAGCTCTATTCTGTAACTATTTTTCTTCCTACTCTTTTATTACATGTAGCTTAAAAGATGTTATTAAGATAAGACCAAGAATAAAACCCACAGAAATGTGAATTTAAACTTTCATATACGCATATTAACTAACCAATAAATCACATATTTTATATATAAAAGGGAAATAATATATAAAACATATGCGATATAGACAATGTTTAATTGTGCTGTAATTTTCAACATCAATATGACTAAAATTTATTGTTTAGTTTTTGAAATATAATCCTAAAGTTCAAAAATGGGAAAGAATATAATTGCACAATCATTATCTCTATAATGTTGAGGAACATAACCACGTAAGTACAATTAAGAGTACCAATGAGTATAAGCAGAAATGAAGATTAAATGTCTGTTTCTATTTAATATTTTGATCCAAATCATAGGAAATTACATATGATAAATGTTTAGTGTTTTATGAGACAGCTTAGCAAACAATATGAAAAATAAATTCTTTCCATGACCTATTAATGAAAATCATCTGGACTAACTTATCTCCAACTTTGTAATTATGTGCAAAAATATATAATATACTTTTAAAGGGATATTACTTATCTTCCCCAAAGAAAGCTTTTTTCAGAAAATATGAGAAATTAAGAATGTATCTCAGCGAAGAATCATAAATTCAATTTTATGGTCGCAACTTTGTTTCCTGAATGTCCGGGTCACTCGGGATCCTCTGGATTGTTACAATGCAGATTCCTGGGCCTAAACACAGACTACTGGATCTTGACTCCCCCCAGGGGTAAGGCACCAGAAAGTACAGTTTAAACAAGTGCCTCACGTGATCTTTCCACACACTGAAGTGTGTGCATCCTCCGTCAAAGGGATGCATTTCAGAGAACAATTACATATTTCTTCAAACGAAACTCCTTTTTGACATACTACTTTGTTGAAGAAATATACACATTTGAAAGTATAATTTAAGGAGATGCAAACACCTAAGTTAAGTTTGGCATCTTTTTAACTTGGTGTTGAAGTGCTCTTAATCTCAGCTAAATGAAGACCATGTAACCATGGTCTTTGCCTACATCTGTCACAAACCCTTGAAGGATATATACGCAGCTCCATCTTGGTCCCCCTGGGCTTGAGATCAGTGTGGCCCCAGTAGTTTTGGAAGAGATCTTTGTTCAATGGAACCGGCACATATCAAATCAGGGCTCAGGCTCTGGGATCCCTTGTACTGTGCTCACAGAAGCTGTGGCTGGCCCGATAGAAGATAGTAGAATGAAGTATTTCAAACTGAAAGTAAAAATGGCTATTTCATATCAATAAAGGTCATTCTAGTCCTTGAAAATAGGAAAAGCAAAATACAGGCAGAAGACATTTCCCTTCATTATGAAAGAATTCATACATGCACACATGTATGTACACGTATTTCCTGCCTACATTAATGCCAAGCCTTCCTGTCTCCTTTCCTCCAGTCTTGCTCTTTCCAATAAAGCCTTTATAGTCTCATATGAATGAATTTTGTAAAATGCCATCTCAAGCAAGTCACTTCTCTGCTTAAAATCTTTCAATGGCTCCCTACTGCTTCCAGAATAAAAGCCCAGCAACTTCACGGGTTTGTATGGTCTTCAAGGGCTATAGGGAACCCGCCCCGCCTCACTTCATGGACCTCAGGTCTGGCCACTCTCTCTTCCCCGGCCACATGGAGATATTTGTGGATCCTTGGATAGATGGCAGTTCCTTGCTGCAGTGACCTTTCCTGATAACAGGCTGTTCACTCTGTCTGAAACAACCTTCCTCCTGCCTTGTTCTTCGTTCTTGTGGCGAACTCACTCTCTAAACTTCAGGGAAGAACACATTGCTTCCGGGCATCTAATCCTTTTCAAAGTGTCTAGTCCTATTCAGATTTCATGCCTAGCTGATGTGGTCCCCTTGTCTCCCTGCTGGACCATGAGCTCTTTAAGGAAGGAAACTGTGTCTCATGACCAAGGTGCCTACCACAGGCCCTAATACATTACATACTAGTAAGTATCTGGTGAAGGACCAAGGTGGAAAGCTTATCTAGGTTTCCATGGTTCATTATATAAAAGTGTACTATTTAATTTTTTCCCAATGTCAGAAATCTGAATATTTTAATCAGGTGTCATAATACATGGATGATTTGACTGCTAAGTTAATTTTGCTCAAATATATTCAACATTACAGATCCATGAAATAGTTACCGATTTTTTTGACCTATTCTAGCAGTACAAACAATATAAATATAAATATTTTATAGCACATTTGATTTGTATACTCCTTTCTTAATTTTATACTTTTCTTAGTGAAGGCCATGCATTTTTAAAGTATAGTAATGATACATATCAACATACACTTAGAGATCAAAGCTAAGGACTTTTTTTTATAACTGAAGTTATATCCTTCGAGTAAAGGTTTAAAAACCAGATTCATTTTGTCGGAAGAATAAAAAATTGCCTATCTATAAATTTAAAGCAATAAGAGTATTGCTACAAACATATTTATATACAAAACTTTCTCCACCAAAAATTCAGTATACTCCTTTCTAGGGCTCAAGAATAATAGGTAGAAAGTATACAGTATTGTTTATTAATTATATCTCACTTTTAAGTTTTGAAAGGGGATTTAGTTTAATTGTTCTTTAAAGTATAAATGTGAAATACTGTATTATTTTTCTTATGTAAATTAAGATATTAGACATAATATCAAGTGTACTAGCCCACACTTATTTGTGCACCGAAAAAATTGTCAAAGAACCTCTTTTATTTTTCTGATTAATTTCACTCCTAAATAAGTAATTATTGATTTTTGTATAGAAAATAACATCTCTGGAAATAGTGTCTGTATATCTTAATGCCTCTGGAAATACCCCAAACTCAACAATACACTTGAAATTCCATCTTTCTTTAGTCAAATATATAGAATGGGGACCAATCCTGAAGCTACAGTTAAGATAACTATGTATCCTATATCTTCTAATTTCTTGGGATTGTGATCTTTCCAATAAAGGCAATTAAAAATACATTCACAAATGTTATTTAAGTGAATGCTTTGGAACTCTTTTCTCATATATTGGTTAGAAAAAAAATATTTGATTGGATCACGACCCTCCCTTTTTTGGCTGAGAGAATATGGCCCCCGCAGCTCTAAGTAAAACTCTTGCTCCATCCCTGAGAGTGAGCTCTGCAAACAAGGGGGACACTTCTCCTTTGTGCTTGAAACTCCTCACCACTGTGTGCAACTCCAGGTATTCCGGGATGATGGTGCTGGGGGAAAGTGCTCAATCTTGGGGAAGAATCTTGTGGAGATGTAGAGCTGAACAGTGGCTTTTCGGGCTTCTTCATAGTAGTCGGAGAAGACATATCTGCAAAGAGGGGAGAACCCAAACTTTATGACTTTCTTCAGCTATGAAGTTCACGTTAATATAACAAGAGATCTCATTTTCCAACATTTCATTATTTCTATACTTGGGCTCTTCTACAAAATATGTACTGAGGGTCAAAGACCCAGTTATGTTGGAGATTTGAAATATCTGTCAGAAACAATCTCCACTGAAGTTAACCCAAGGCTTTATTAAAATTATCATTGGGGGCGCCTGGGTGGCTCAGTCGTTAAGCGTCTGCCTTCAGCTCAGGTCATGATCCCAAGGTCCTGGGATCGAGTCCCACATCGGGCTCCCTGCTCCGCGGGAAGCCTGCTTCTCCCTCTCCCACTCCCCTGCTTGTGCTCCTGCTCTCGCTATCTCTCTCTCTGTCAAATAAATAAAATCTTAAAAAAAAAAAAATTATCATTGGAATTATTTCTCCTACTAAATAAATCTTGAACTTTTGAAAAACTAAGTATCATGTTTCCTTTGGCACCTTGGTTCACATCAAGGTCATTTTACCTCAGCATTTCATTCTTAGATTTATACAATCCAGGGGTTTGTCTTTCGACCTGCTGACTACACTGTGGAAAAAAACAGAAGAAAACCTGGTGCAAATGTGAAAAACAACTTTTGGGACCACTGGTAAGTCTATCATTGATTTCACATCTTCTGTGGAAAACTCATTACTTGTTTAACAAAAAGTACATTCCTTAATTTGCTCATTATGCAAGTATTTATTGGTGTCCTCTATTTGCCAGGTAAAGTGAGGATGTTATGAAAAATACAAAGTAACTGCTATAGGGATACTCACTGTCAGTGAAGATGAAAATGATAAGAAGAAAATGGCTGTCAACAGTTGAGAGGGAGGAAGTGTGTTGAAAGCAGGGGTGTTGTGTTGTGGTGTTTGCTGGTTTTCCTGCATAAGGGCAGTGACCACCTCAGCCTCCCCAGGTTAAGGAAGATGCCTCAGTGGTGCCATGTTTAAAATGTGGATGGGGATGACACTCCCAGAGAGAGGAAATGTTCTGGAGAATGGAGCATAGAAAACAAGTGGTACAAGTAGTCTGTGGAGTGGTGAAGTGATGAAGTGATGAATGAGGGAGCAAGTAGCTGGCAGGACCCACAAAATGAGGGGCCATGGACTTTGTGTATAAATATCTGAATGTCTGCCCTGATCGGGGAGTGCTACTGATGAGCAAAATATGATCACACATTTATAGTTTAAGGCCGTCCCTCTCGAAAGTACATGGAGGATGAGTTAGCCAAAATGGAGACAGCAATCATGGAGACCACTTGAGAAGACAGATTTATTAATACATCCTTCCATAAATATTTCTTGAAGGCTTAATTTATGCCAGACACTACACTAGTTGCTGGAGACACAATGGTGAACTAGATTAAGTTTCAGCCTCTACAAAACTTTTTCTTTTTTTTAAGATTTTATTTATTTATTCGCCAGAGAGAGATAGAAAGAACACAAGGAGGAGGAGCGGCAGGCAGAGGGAGAAGCAGGCTCCCCACCGAGAAGGGAGCCCGATGCGGGACTCGATCCAAGGACCCTGGGATCATGACCTGAGGTGAAGGCAGAGGCTTAACCTACTGAGCCACCCAGGCATCCCCAGCCTCTAAAAAAATTAAAAACTAGGGAGGGGATACACATGTGCTAAAAAGGAACTATAAAACAGTGTGAAATTGCTATGGTAGATAACACTACCACAATTATCAACTCATAGCCAATCTTATTTCACCTTTACCCCATCTATGCTCCCCCACCCCCCTTTTCACTTTGAAGCAAATTGCAGACAGCACAGTATTTCACTTATAAATATTTCAATTTGTAGCTCTAAAAAGAGAAGTTATTTTTTTAAAAACCTAAAACTTCATCATATTAGATACATATGCATATATATAATATTCATTTTTAATTTTTTTAACAAGAGAAAAAGACCTCACGTGCTGTTTTTAAAAAAATTTTTTATGGTGCTATTAATATAAGAAACTAGTTATCATTATGATTTACCATTTGAAAAATTACATAAGCTCTGGTAAAAGCATCCAATAAAATTAAATATGTGTTTTCAGCACATTGGCACTTAAAGAATGGATATGCTACTGTTAAAACAGTAGACATCACAGTCCACAAAAAATGACAGGTGTACTTGTAGCTATAATTTGTGACTAGCTGGCTGTCACTAACCTATCAGAACTTTGATGCATTGGTGAACGATTTCCTTGTATCTTTCTCAAAAAGAAAAAAATGAAAGGAAATTGCTAACGAAACCACAGCAATTAATGCTGCTACAAAAGAAGAGAAAAAATGTTGATACCATTTAAAAACAGACCAAAAAAGTTCATTTCAGCTAAGGTACCTTCAAAATGTCAAAAATAATAATTAATTTCACTTAGAGCTATGTGATTTTAAAAGGTAACACTACAAATATAGGTTTTGGCCTGCTAGAAGCTAATCACAGACATCTAGGTCTTTAGGAGTGGAAAGAACCTTTATTCCAACCCTCATTTTGCAGATAAAGTAATGTTTCTATTCCAAATTTTTAATTTAAAATTAACTATTAGAAAAAGAAATCTATTGACACTCTTATGCTCTACCTGTGCTTAAATACAGATCTCAAAATAAAATTAACCAGTGTAATCAGTTTCTAAAGACTCCATATAGAGGGGCGCCTAGGTGGCTAAGTTAGTTAAGTGTCCAACCCTTGGTTTCAAGGTCAGGTCATGATCTCAGGGTCATGAGATCAAGTCCCTTCGTTGGGCTGCATGCTCAGTGGGGAGTCTGGGGATCTTCGCCCTCTGCCCCTCCCCCCACTTGCACGCTCTCTTTCTCTCTCTGTCTCTGTCAAATAAATAAATAAATCTTAAAAAAAAAAAAAAAAGACTCCCTGAATGAGTAATAGAGCATTTACTGTACATGACTGAAAAACAATGAAATATGACCAGAGCTTGGGAAGCAGAATGAATGTTATTCTAGTTCTGTCATTTCTGGGGACGTTCCATCAAGGCTATTGCAAATACTGTAACTGTTTCCAAATTTTCATTAAACGTAGCAGGATTCACCTGAGTCACTTTCTGCAAAGAGCACATAAATCAAGGGTGTTTGTCCAGCAGTTCAAGAAGATGGGTGATGACGTCATTTTTGAGAAATGAAGCCTTTGCATTTTCTTACTCAAAATAATGCACTTGGCTTTCCTGGGTAATTATTACAGGTCCATTTATTGTTTGGGTTCTCGTTAGGCATGGACCAAATAATAATGGTACCTTCGTGTTCAGAACACACAAAGGAATTACAGAGGCCAACACAGCAGAAACAAATTAAAATTCACTCTTCAAGTTGTAAAAGGGACCACAAATTGTCTTCTCAAACAGTCAAGTGAACTTACAACAGTAAAAATAAGAATGAGAAGGTCCACCGTCCATACTGAAACTACTTCTTTAGGAACAGATAAAGAATGATAGTGCAGAAAGTGGACTTGACCGCCATTGTCTTCCCACTCGATGAAATTATTTTTGAGCCCAACAGCCAGTGAAGATATACTGGTACCCAGCCTGTGCAAGGCATATGCCAAGTGTGCCGGGGACACAAAGTGACCCCCTCCCCACCACAGTCACAGGAAAAAAACCTCACTGCAACGGAGAAAGAATAAAAATAAAATGTCAACTATCTAGGAGGCGGAAGGGTAGAGTTTCTAGCTATTACATTTTAATCATGAATCAAACTCGTATTATTTTGATTTTAATTTTATTTTGCATGTCTGCAGTCTAGTAGACCTCATGCCAAACTGAAAAATGATACTGTTTCTATTTTTAATGCACTTCTATGCTACAGAAATAAAAAAAAAAAATGTTTGAGGAATGAATATATAGGAGAGATGGTTTTAAGTGACCTTTCTGTGGAAAAAAACAAATGTCATGCTTTTCACAGTGTATTGTCCCTCAAGCCGGGAGAATAATACATAAAAAGATTAAGTTGAAAATAAGTTAAATAAAATAAAGCGGAATAATATATAAATATATAATAAGTTGAATAATAATACAAACATAATAATGCATATGTTGAATAATACATGAAATAAAGAAGTTGGCAAGAGAAGCAAGATGATAAGAAAAGGATTAGCCCGTGTTTCCAGTGGTGGGAAGGAGGCAGGAGTAGTTGGTGGTGCATGAGAAAGAAGCAAAGTCAGTGAGGGCTTGCCATCAGACAAAGACATTTAAATTTGATTTGGAAAGTAATAATTTATAAATGAATTGATCTCAGGAGGGAAATGCTTTCCAAAAGCTCTCTATTGTTTTTCTGTTTCTTGTAGCTTCCACTCAGTGCTTTTTGCTTGTACCTGGTTAAATCAAAAATTTCCTGTCTAGTCTCCTTCCAGGAGGAAGGAAGGAGAAGGAGGAAGGAAATCCTCTCCTTCAAACAATATCTTCCTCACATTAAGATCTATGATGGTATCATATTTTTCTTTTCCTTATCATTCCATTTTATTTAAGCTTTAGCTAAACTCATTTACTTATGGCCTCTTGGAGGAGGAGGGAACCAGGAGGACTGTGCTTCTAACTCTTCCTTTGCAGATGACATTCCCTTGGGCTAGAAAATGATGTCTTTCTACCTCTTATTCCAGCTATAGAACAGTATTTTATCCACTGAACCAACTTGATTTATTTTCTCTTTAAGCATTCCCTCCTGGGACTGTGGAGGTCTAGATTTCCTTAATGATCTTGTGTTTGTGTCTGATATTATCTGACGGATTATTTTTTAATTATTATTTTGTACTTTTTCTATCCATAGAGTGAGTGAGTGAGTGAGTGTGTGTGTGTGTGTGTGTGTTTGAGCTGACTGATGGCTTATCTCCTACAGAAGATGATTTTATTAAAGATGCAAAGACATATGGAGGCTGGAAAAACATGCTCAGGAAGAGAATTTTTAAAAATCTTGCACCGAAAGACAGTAGAAGAGGTAGAACAGACGCTGTCTAGGCAGTTTATCT